TCAGGCCATGCCTCTCTAAAGCTGATCCCAACTTCCGATCACATCCTCAAGTAGCATCACCAGCAGAATACTTCTATAGGCCACTGAATCCCACCCAGCAGAGCATCCACCAGAAAACTCACTTCAGAAAAAAGGAGGCATAGGACTGGGCTATGTACAATTGTTATGTATTGTACTATTTAGGTGAAGATAGCCTAACAGATTACCATAAAGGCCTACTAAAGCCACAGCCAAATGAGTAGCTCAGAGACAATAATCAATAAGGATGAGGGCCATGCCCCAGGATATAGTATAAATACTAAATCAAAGATCCCTGTATGGCCTTGTGTGTTTAGTAGGAACACAGTGATCTGATTTGGTTGAAATCAAGAATGGCTTCCCAACAGCTTATTAAAGAACTTTATCTCCCACAAGTCCTGGTTGAGCAGAGTTAGAACTCCTGGCCTTCAAAAGTTTCCTCTCTTAGAATAAAGTAGATCCACAGACCTATAGAGTGTATATAGTTGTAGGATGGGACACTTTTGGTACTTTGCATCCAGAGGCCAACAGCAGGGATAATTGATAGAAGTGGGGTTGCTGTTATATACTGGAATATAACACTTGTGGAATCCAGGTGATCTACTTAGCTGCCTTTAGCATGCCCTGGCCCAATTGAACCTGTGAACAGAAACATGCATCAGCCCCAATCTGAAATAGAGTAGGATGAGTAAGGGCTAAAACCTCTTAGGAATGTAGGTCACACTACCAGGTAAGCCAATAGGACATGCTGAAGTGACAGCTAAGGAACATAGAGGATACGACAGTAGCAGTATGGCCCGAGATTAACTGCAATGACAAGGACTATAGTTTGTTTAATTAACCTCTCTTTTCTAAACTTAACCTTAAAGAGAGAGGTTTACAGGAATCATGGGAGATTTACACCATATACATTGTGAGTGATGAGTTGATCTATAATCTCCAATAGTGCACATCTAGGTGCACTACTAAGATTGCACCAGACCAGGCTTTTCCTACACTACTCTGAGACAATGACTGAGCAACACAGAGTAGAATTGGACCATCTTTGCCCAGTTAGGAATTCCTCTGATGGATAACTTAGTTTAAGGCTACCCACTGGTCTGGCTGAGACTCAGAAGTTCATTGCAAACTAGGACTTTTTACTCATTCTTCTTTCCTTTTCTGTTTTCAAAGATGTCAAAGTCCCTTACCATCTGAGTCTCTCCGTCTTCTCTTGTTCCTCTCTCTTGGATGGTTGGCATCTGATTTTCAGAAGTTGATAACAGATACACTGGGTGAATTTCAAATTTCATACCCTAACTTGTAGTCTGTTTTCTTTTTTGCAGTTCTAGGGATCAAACCAAGGACCTTGTACATGTTAAGCAAGTGCTGTACCACTGAGCCACATCCCCAGCCCTAATTTTTACTTTCAGTAGAGAATGTCTTTGGGGGTCAAGAAAGGCTCTGATTTTGTTCAGTCTTCTATTTAAAAAACTTCTTCAGAATTTTTTATGAATCTAAGAACAACTGATGTCTGGGTCAAGAGCTTTCTGATGCCTAGTGCTGGTGGCTCATGCCTATAATCCTAGCTACTCAGGAGGCAGATAGCAAAAAAGATTGAAGTTCAAAGCCAGCCTCAGGCAAACAGTTTGCAAGATCCTATTTTGAAAAAACCCAACATAAAAAAGGGTTGGTAAAATGGCTCAAGTGGAAGAGTGCCTCAAACATGAGGCCCTCAGTTCAAAACCCAGTACCACAAAAAAGACCATCCCAATATATTTCAGTTTCAAAAATGTAAATATAGCTATTGAACTATAGTAAATTGAACCTACCATTTGTATGGTGGCTCTGGTGGGACATTCAAGCACAGAACCTTGTAGGGTGATTCTGAGAGGAAGGCACTACAAGAAAACACAAGATTTTTAAGACTTTTAAAAGAAAATATGTAGCAGCATTGCATTAGGCAACCAGAAAATTGACTAATTGTCAGAATTCAGGTAAAAAGTTTTAAAAGGAGTAAAGATACTGAGAGAAATTTTTCAAAAAGAATTTAAGGACCTGATGAACACTTAATACAAGGATGCTGGAGTAGAGTGGAAGAGGGAAACATCAAGTCAAAAACTTGACCTTGGAAAATGGCCTTACAGACTATCAAATAAACAGTTAAGCCCTAGGATACACACACTGAAATAAATAGGTTTGCTGAGGATATCTTAAAATAAAACTTAGAAAGACCAGTTACCAGAGAAAAACAAAAACATAATCCTAAGGCTGTGATTTTAGAAAGAGAACCTTCTATCTCCTCTCCCTGCCCATGTTGAGAATTGCCAAGGAAAAGACAGCCATTGGTGGAAAACACAAGAGGAGTCTTTAGAGGTGTTTTATATCTATTTCATCAAAACCACTCACAATGTTAATTCACACAATCTCCCAAAAATGATGGCAGCCAGCCAGAATAACATTTCTGGCGTTGAAATTCTTCACATTGACTTTCTGTGATCCTAAATAGCCAGGCCTCACCTATCCATTCAATTTATTTTCCCCCCTCTCTAAAACCCTCTTGACTTGTTAAGTTAGTCTCCCAGTGCTATGAACACACCATACTTACTCCTGTCTTATTGCCTTTGTTTGGAAGGTCTAACTGCTCCTCCTGTTCAGTTCTGCTCTTCAGAACTGAAAATAAGGATCCTTTAATCCTTATTTTAGCCTTTATTCTGTGGGTTCAACTCATGGGTTTTTGGTCAATACATTACATAACTTCTTACTTCAAAATATGATTTTTTGTATTGTGAATGTTTGTTTAATGTATTTATCACCCCAACTAGCCTACAAACTCCTCAGATACTTGACTCTGACTCTTTTGGTAAATATTCATTATCACAGATTTTTTTTCTTGGTATGTAGCCCAGGCTGGCCTCAAATTCATGATCTTTATTTCTTCCTCATGTTAGGAATTGAGACCAGGTCCTTATGCATGCTTGACAAGTGTTCCACCACTGGAGCTACACACCCAGTTCACAGATTTTTAAAGCTTCATGATTTTAGGTGCTGAAACTGGTAGGCAGACTGTCACTTCTTTAGTTATCTATAGCAACTATAGGGAATTAGTCAGAATATTATACTATATTAAAATTTAATGCTTGCTGTGTACTTGGCATGATACTCTGTTTCTTCTATATATTAGCTTGCTTAGTTCATGACACTTTTATCATCCCTCATGGTTTCTTTCCTTAACAACCCATATCTAATTGATCCAATTTTATTAGCTCAATATTCAAAAGAGAGCTGGAATCCTCTTATTTCTCCCAAATCCACTATCTGGGCTCCCATCAACTCTCCTCTGAACTATCACAATAGGTGCCTAGTAGATGTTTTCTCCACACAGTATAGTGTAATCCTTTCAGTTTTATGTCACACTTCTGTTCCACAGCCTGCATGGCCTCTAAGAGCCTCTGGAATCCTCCCCCTCTAACACCCTACTCATCTCTCACCCTAACTACTACCTTGTCTTATTTTGTTCCAATTATATGCTGGTATGTTTTGTTTTTCCACAAACGCAACATGAACCTATGATCTTAGATCTAGTTTGTCCTTCTGCTTGGAGCACAGGTCCAGTTATACAGTTAACCCTCTCCTTAGAGTCAGCTTGTAAGCATGGACTTCTCACATGGTCCCAAAATTATTTAAAAGCAAGAGAAAACATGGCATCTCTGCCTCCATTTTGTACTTGTCCTTGCTCTAAGCCATTCTCTCTGCAGTCACTTTACAATCACCTTGGAATCCAGCAAGGACAGAACTGATAACATCTTATCTGACAGGAAACAGAAACATCGCCAACAGAAGAGCTTCCTTAGGAAGGAGCACCTGTCAGGCAACACAGAATCTGGATAACAATTCTCAGACCTCTACCAGAACAAGGACTGAGATAATGACAGCCAGACCACATTTGTACTGGGACTGTTTATGCATCCCTCTTTCCCCATGTCCCCAGATTTTTGTCTATTTAAACATGAATTTAAACATGTTCATGTCTGAACCCTGAAGATGGCTGAAGATGGGCTGAGTGCTTACTCTGCCTCTTCTCAGAGGTCTTACTCTGAGGTCTGGTAATAAATCTCCTTTCTCTTCCCTTTACCATGTCTCTTTATTTGGTGTATAGGGGTCAGTGGCCAGACCTGACCTGTGGTAGCCTATGAGTTTGGGTCTGGGTTCCAAAACTCTGGTTTCGAGCCCGCCTCATTAATAAGGTTCACCTTAACGCTATTCAACTCTGCAGTTTGTCCCTCTACTTCTGATCTCCTTCCTTTAAAAATACCACTTCTCACTTTGCTTTCTCTATTCCCACCCCCATAAACTCCAGATGGTCTGTTTTAATCTTGATTGTACCCAGGGGTAAGACACTCTAATAAGTGTTTGGTGGTAAATCCCAAAGCTAGCTTTTCTTTGTGTAAGGCAATTGCTCTTCAGTTATGAGCCTTTCTAGCTTCCTTGCTTCTGAATTCAACAAACAGCAAAGGCCATGGGAGACCTAGGTCATGGAGCCAGCCCCTAAGGGGCTCAGTTTCACATCTGGATCCCGCAGGTGAGAGGGTAGAGGAGATGTAAGTTAAATACCTAAAGTGTGCAGTTACTTCCTTGGGCGGTTAAGGGAGGGGTGGCAAACTCCTCAAAGTGTCACACCTTAGACATTAGGCTTTGAACATTCACCAAAGCGACCCTGAGCGCCAGGTTGACCCTCGCCCTTCACTGAAGCTTCAGTGCCCTTACTTAGGTGGCTAGGCCATGCCTAAACCGTTTATTTTTAAATTCTTTTTTTGGTGGGGGAGGAGAGGGTGACGTAACCGAAACGTGCCTGCCACAAGGACGAGGTGCCAGGGCGGTATCCCCTCACCGCTGCTCTACCCCTTAGGCAGCCGAAGAGGCAGCAGCACCGGACCGCGGACAGGCGCCAGCGCGGACACCCAAGCGAGGACCCGCGTGCGTCACGAAGACCGCCAACTCCCGTCGCGCACGCGCCCTGCGCCCAGCATGAGGGTTGCGGCCCTGATCAGGTAACGCGCGGCCTGGCCGCCCTGCTGCTCCCCGGCCAGCTTTTGTCCCCTTGCTGTCGCCGCTGGGTGGAAGAAGACGGCGTGTCTGGCGGAGTCGCGGGTCGGGTCGCTGCTCGGGACCACAGGAAGGGGCGGAGCCTGCGGCCACTTCCCATTCCTCTGTGGCTCTTGCCGCCGGTGGCTGTCGGGGTCCCCGGGGTCCACCGCCCCGGGCACTGGTTAACGGCGCGGGTGCGGCCAGGCGTTGCAGTTTAACGCCAAGTTGGAGGGCCTTGCCTAACTTCGCTCCCTAGGACTCCAGCCTCTGGTGTCCTCCCCGCGGCACTTCCGGGTCGTGGGCGTCCCTACCCCGCGAGGCCGCCGCACCCGCGTCGTCACCACGTGTCCGGCTCGGGGCGCAAGGTGTAGACGGCCACACGGGCCTGGGGCGCCCTGGCCTGAGTGACCCAGGGCATCCAGACCGTGCTCCAAAGGGAGCCTGTAGCTCATAAGTGAGTTCTCTGGCCCAGAACACGCTAGCTTAAATGTTTCCATGTATACACGGAGACAAAAGGGAACCTGGAGTAGTATCACAGAGGGACTTTACACGCCTGAGATGGGCTGCTCCCCGAGATTCGGGCCAGAATAGGGTCTGACAGATTGCCGTAATGTGTCGACTCTTGTAAGCGTTTTAATTCGGCGTCCAGGGTAGTTGGTGCTGGTGGACGATATTGACTTGTTAGGACCTTCTGATCCCCCCCTCCACTCCCATGCCAGCGCTGGAGACAAGACTACAATACCACAATAAGTGCTGTTCTAATCGGTGATCAAACCTTAACGACTGCGGTTTTCGTTTTCTTTAGAGAGGCAAGAATTAAAAGTAGCTTGGGAAATAATTCATTTCCACATTCAGTTTGTCAAGTCTCAGTGACACAAACCAACTAGAGGTTTAGGCATATCGGTTGGGAGGAGGGAAAATCAGCATAGCCCTTCACACTAAATTACTAATGTAATAATTTACTGAGAAAAGCAATATTAGAAAATTTAAACTTAACTATCTGCAGTAAGAATGAACTCACAAGCGTGTATATATGTATATGCTTATGATACATGTGCCAATGTATTATATATAAGCAATTAAACCTTAACAGTGAATCTGCAGTGTGTGTGTGTGTGTGTGTGTGTGTGTGTGTGTGTGTGTGTGTAAGAGAGAGACAATGAGAAGTGAGAAAATGAGAAATTGTGTGTTTTAGGGAGTAACTGAAACTGAAATTCTTACGTATCTTTAGGCCGTAGAACATTGTTTTCCTAATACATAAATGAGTCCTTGAATTTTATTGTTGAATGACACCTTGCAGATTATCTTGACACCTCATTCTAGTAAGCATGTAAACCAAAGCACACTGAATAACTTAGTATCCCAGAAGTGGAAACCGAGTCTGGCCTGTAGACTTTGTCATCTAACATATGTAGTCATGCCTGGTATCCAAGGGAGACTGGTTCCAGGACCCCTATGGGTACAAAACCTGCAGATGCCAAGTCCTTTATGTAAAACAGGGCCTGCAACCCATGTACACCCCTCCACCTTAAGTCACCTCTAGATTGCTTATATCAGATGCAATGTAAATGCTCTACAAAAAGCTGTCGTGCTCAGTGAATAATGACAGAAAAATAAGTTACATAGCTGGGCATGGTTGCTCGCATCAATTATTCCAGCTACTCAGGATGAAGACAGAGATGGGGAGAATCGTGGTTCACCACTGGCATGGACAAAAGTTAGCATGACCCCATCTCAGGAAACAAGCTAGGCACTGTGGCTCAAGTCTATAATCTTGTGGCTGGAAGGATAGGTAGAAGGATCCTGGTCAGAAGCTAGTATACAGCAAAAAGTATGAGACCCTATCTGAAAAATAACTTAGAACAAAAAGGACTGGAGGCCTGGCTAAAGTGGTAAAGCGCTTGTCTGGCAAGCACACCCTGAGTTCAAACCCCAGTACTGCCAGAAAAAAAAAAGTGTCTCTATGTGTTCAGTGTAGATTTAATTTTTCCTCAGTTTTTTGACTTGTAAGTGGCTGAGTCCTCAGATGTGGGACTCAGATGTGGAAGGCTGATAGGAGGGTTGACTGTACTTGGAGTTCTAAGAGGAGATTAAGATAGTCTGTTTAACAAGGTTGTTTGCCCTGGTGTATTCAGTTAACATTTTGCTGGACACGATTTGATAGGTAATATTTTGAAACCATGTCATATACCTAAGTTCTGGTGTGAATGCAATCAATAGTATGTGATAGAATTAGCTAGTTTCCTTTTGTTTTGCAGAAATAGAACAGTGTGGTTCTATGGAGAGAGTTGTGGAAGGTTGGCTTGGGGTCATCTGAATCTGAAGAGAGAGCAGGGGCTGTTTTATACTTCCCTGTGTCCCTGCCCTTCCCCTCAGCCTCAGCACTTCTGAAGAGGTGTATGCAGTGACGGTTGAAGTGCTAGCACTCTTGATGTCTAACTTTAGCAGTGTAATTTAGCATTTTGCTGTCATCTCTACAGAACTTGAAACCAAGTAAAGCATGTCAAAGTTTGTCATGAGATTGGGACTCAAAATTTTAATTTGATCCTTAAATAGGATCAAATATCTAACTATTGATAGCCAATAGTTAGATTCTTCATAGTGGAACAGATTTTTTTTTTTTGCTTAGGAATTTCATCTAAGGTGTGTTAGGATGTAAATTTGAATAATTTTTTATTTGCAAAGGACTTCATTAAGTAAAACTACTATCACAAATATACCGTTTAGAGTACTCCTTGCTATAATGACCTATAATTTCATAAAATCTTACAAGTAGCAACCTTAAGACTTTCAGATTCATTTTAGTTTATATATGATTTAGAAATTAGTGTGTGTTACTGCATTCTAATTGTGAAACAGTCACTCATAGACCCTGAAAAGCTGAGATCTAGTGATTTTATGTTGCACAATTGTCAGTAACCTGAGATTCACATCTCTCTCTCTCTCTCTCTGTCTCTTTCATTTCTTAGTGGTGGGAAGGACAGCTGTTACAATATGATGCAGTGCATTGCTGCTGGGCATCAGATTGTTGCTTTGGCAAATCTAAGACCAGATGAAACCCGAGGTAAGCGTGTGATTTTATTGGGAAGTTCTCTAAGTGACTAAAACTCAGCTTCATAATTACATCTTACTGTAAGCAGTAGACAAATTTGAAAACAAGACCAAATATGTAGTTAGCGATATTAGATGTTCAATTCTGCACAGAACTTAGCATTAAGTGCTTTCACTTACATTCCGTTTAATACAAATATCAACTCTAAAAAAGAGGTATCATTAACTTTACTTTTAACAGTCACGGATACTGATGTGCAGAGTTTTATGAGTTTGTCCGAAATCAAAAGGCACAGACATTCAGAGTAGAACATTGAATTCTTTCGCTTCAGAGTGCACTGCTGCTCTTCTGCACCTCATGTCCAAGTGTTGCAGGCAGTGTTCACATAGATAAGGAGTTTGGGAAGCAAGACATACATTCTCAATATATAATCTGTGGCTGTTACTTTTAAAAAGATGCAGTTCACTTATCTTAGATGTAGGTCAGGCATGTGAGACGTGAGAGCAGCAGGTATAATACGTTTCTACTGTGGTTTTTTTTTGGCCTTACCAGGGTTTGAACTCAGGGCCTCATGCTTCCTAAACTAACACTTTACCCTTGACCCATGCTGTCAGTCCACATATCTACTTTAAATTTTCTGTAGCACCAAGTACATCCACATATAATCCACAGATCTCATTTCACCTCCTTTTTTCAGTTTTCTCCCCAATTAGAACTTTTAAAAAATGAGTATCATTGACAACTTGCTTTTTGTACATGCTTGTTAAACTTACACAACATAGATATTTACTGCTGATGTGAGAGGAAAGACCAGCACTGCCATACCCTTATGTACTGCTACTTTTTTTACATAGCTCTTCTAGTAAGATTGTTTTATCATCCCCTTCCTTTCTTTCCACACTGGATGCTTTTGTTCTACTGTTACTTTAAGATGAACTAAAGAGTTATGTGGATACAAGATTCATAGCATGGCATGAGGAAGCTGTGTTGTAAATGTAATTGAATCAGAATAGAATACTAAGTATCTCCTTCCCTCCTCTCTCCCTTACAAACATTTGTTACTTATTAAGTAAGTACATATTTAAGAAAAGTTTTTATAAGTCTAGATGACTTTGTGAGTAACCTTGAATGATTTAAAAATATTTATGTAATAAAATTTTTAATTAAATAAAATAATCAAAATTTACTGGATCCATTACTCTTCTCTGTAAATGTACATAATTTAAAAATTTTATGAATAATCTTATTTGTAATTAGTAGTGGATATGATTAGATCTGATATGAACTAAATGCAGCTGTGGATAAATGTATAATTCTTAGATATTATTTACCTAGATAGATCCAGAGAGAGGATTCAAGTTCAGTGTTGAATACTCTTCCATTGGTAAAACCTCTGTGGGCTTTCAGTTCCATTTGTTTTTCTCTGGTTTACACTTATCTCCACTTTATTTGGCACAGTAGGATCTGATGAATTGGACAGCTATATGTATCAGACAGTGGGTCACCATGCCATTGACTTGTATGCAGAAGCGATGGCTCTTCCCCTGTACCGCAGAACCATAAGAGGAAGGAGCTTGGACATTGGACAAGTGTACACGGAATGTGAAGGTGATGAGGTTGAAGATCTCTTCCAGCTTCTGAAACTTATCAAGGTATGCAGAGTGACCAGTTACATTTTTTTGAGCTCAGTAAGTTCCTTTCATTTCATAAATTGTTTAGTAATTAACAATTTAAACTGTTAATAGTCCAACTGTTTCTCTTTTTTTGTTTTTTGGTTTTTTGATGGTACTTGGGTTTGCAATTGCTAGGCAGGTGCTCTGCCATTTGAGCCACTCTGCCAGCCCACCGTTGTTTGAAAGGATATTTTTATCTTTGTGGGGGGTGGGGAGGAAAACCTGTTAGTATGTCTTTATATTAAAGGACATTAAAAAAAAGAGTCTTGGGGTCTGGCCTATAACCTCTAACCCTAGCTACTCAGGAGACAGGGATTGAAAGATTGTGTTTCACTGCCAGCCTGGGCAAAGACCGTGAGACCCTATCTTAAAAAATTAAAATCGAAAGGCTTTTAATTGAGCCACTGGGGTGTGGCTCAAGTGGTAGAGCTCCTGCCTGGCAAACATGAGGCCCTGAGTTCAACCCTGGTACTGCCAAAAAGTCACAATAAGACTTTTGGTGAGTTTGTCACCCAGGCTGGTGAAATGATATTTAACCAAGTTTTTTTTTTTTTTTTCCTTGAGATATAAGAACTAATGGCTATTCAATAATTTTTTAACAACTAATTTTTGAGTGCCTACGTGTGTTTGATACATAGTGCTAAGCACTGAGGGTAGGGCAATGAACAAATGAGATGAAGTTCTATTGTAATGGATCCCACTTTCTAGTACAATAGGATAGACAGTAAACAAATAACATGGTTGATGTTGAGAGGTACTGTGAGAAAGAATGAAGCAGAGCCATGGTGATAGCAACTGATGTAAGGGATGGCCGAGGAGAAGTGAGATCCAGAGCCCTGCTTTCATGAGGTGGAAGAAGTGTGAATGAAACACTTAAGTTGTTGTACACGGGAGTTTGGCACTCATTGTTAATTTCAGTAAACTAAACCTAGGAGAGAAGTGTGGGCTACTACTATAGGTAATAGGTAGTAGGCACTGTACTCGTTAAATGTTGGTTGATGGAGATGACTTTATATTGAGCAGTTATCCTTTCATTCACACTGATAACCAGCTGTTTGAAGACAGTTCAGTATTCTTTTTAAATATGAATTTTTTTCCAGTCAGCTATCATTAATTCACTTAAAAACGTATTGATGAGATGATAATGTTAGCCAGTATTTCCTGGATATCTTAACTTATTTTCACAAGGGAGAGAGTAGAAAAGAGTTCTGGTCCTTGCTCTACTGAAGGATATTGCATTGCATTTTTCACTCCTCAGGGAATTCTGCCTTCTTAGAAGTTTTGTCATGAACCAGTATCGTGAACATTTACTAGCCTCAAATCATGACTTCATTGTGTACTTTAAATTCAATACTCATCAAATCTTAGTATCAGTTAAGGATTTTGATTTGAAAAATATGAGGCACCTAAATTCTTTTCAAGTTTCCTTGGTGGAAATAGTTTTTGTTTTGCATTTCAGAACATTTTTATTTAAAAAAAAACTGGCAGGAAAGATAGTAAGTAGTTCTATACTATTCATTTGTAGATAGCATAAGAAGTAGATACTTTTCAAAGGAAATCATAGGGAATATATATACTAGTTAGAACTATTCTGATTATCAAAGAAGGGGAAGGAATACGAGTGCTTTTGGTGGTTGTTTCAGAACGGTACAGTTAGGATCATGAAATACTGAGTGTCAATTACACTTTCAAAATCTGTTTTTTAGAGTACATAGAAACTACACATTAAAAATTTTAACATAAACCAATATTACAAATTGGAAATAATTGGGTTGCTTAAAAAAAATCACAAACTTGGTAACTTTGGAGAAGTTCTGTGATAATAACAGCCTTCCAAGAAAGGTAAAGATAATAAATTACTGATGAATTAAAAATGGACAGATTAGTAGCAATTAAGAAAAAATTTCCCTTTTGATCCAGGCTGTCTTTGGAAAAATGGATGCTCTGCCATTATCTTTATAGTAACCATCAGTTATGACATAAATTTATGCCAGTGTTAAATCTTAACAACTTCTCTTTTGGAATTTTGTACATGATAATTACAACTCTAGTTGAAAGAGACATTATCGAGTTGTCTATGACTAAATAGTTCCCTCTTTTCCTGTGTAGAAATACAAATTTTACCATAGGATATTTTAAGGACATAAACAGTAGAAATATATTGCTTTTGTAGGATTACAATGGAGGTTATACATATGCTAATGAATAATCAAGTAATTATGGAAAAAACACTAATCTAGAAAAGGTATGCTTTCAAGTTAGTCTTCACTTGTTTTAAGAAAAAGAACTACATTTTTAATCCTTGGAATATTAATAACTGTTGAAAACATTTGGGTTTAGTTTCATTTTAAACATTTATTTAATAACAGTTTGCAGTTTTTTGACTTTCACATGTAGGTTAGTCTTTTGTTTTATAGCTCTTTCCCCTCCAAATATTAGAGCTAAGTTTTGACTAGATGATGTTTGCAAAGAATTCCAATTTTTCAGTTGCTGAAAATAAGTAGGAAAGATTGGAAGGATTTACAGTTAGAAGTTTCCTAAGTATTTTGTAGAAGTGATACAAGCTAATAAGAATGTAATGATCCTTTATGTCTCAGATTCCCAGATGACTGTGAGTTTGATTATGTATATCTCTTAAACTGTTTATAAAATATGTTTTCTTATTCTTTTTTAGTAGCACACATTAATAATACAAGGGAGTTTCATTGGGATAATTCCATAGATACGCATAGTATAGTTTGAACAAGTTCACTCTATTATATTCCTTTAGCTCCTGCCCTTCTTCCTTCCTTTTACAAACAGTATTTGGTAGATTTGTTATGCTTTCTTCGTGTGTGTGTGTGTGTGTGTGTGTGTGTGTGTGTGTGTGGTCCTTCAGTCCTCTGTGCCCCCTAGTACTCTCTCCTTACTGTCTCCTCCTCCAACTGATCCCCTCCCAAGCAGCCTTTTTATACTCATGTGCCATTATTGTTACTACTATTTTAGGTCTAGATTCTGCATATTAGTGAAAACAGTGATATTTGGCTTTTTGAGCTTATTTTACTCAACCTGATGATCTCTAGTTCCATACATTTTCCTGCAAATGACATAATTCATTCTTTGTGGCTGAATAATACTCCATTGTATACATAAACCACATTTTCTTTATCCATTCAGTTCACGGGTACCTGGGCTGATTCAATCACTTGACTGTTACATAGTGCTGCTATAAACATGGGTGTGCAGTGTCTCTCTTATGTGTTGATTTATACTCTTTTGGCTATATGCCCAAGAGTGGTACAGCAGAATCAATAAGCCAGGTCTATTTTTAGGTTTCTGATGAATCTCCATACTGATTTCCTTAGTGGTTGTACTAGTTCACATTCCCACCAGCAGTGTGTGAGGATTTCTTTCTCACTACAGCATTTGTTGTTTTTTTCCTTAATCATGACCATTCTGACTAGAGTAAGGTAGAATCTCTGTGATTTTGATTTGCATTTCCTTTATGGTTAAGGATGTTGAACATTTCTTCATGTATTTATTAGCCCTTTAAACTTCTTCTGAGAACTGTCTGTTCAATTCATTTGCCCATTTATTAATTGTATTATTTATTCTTTGGTATTTAATTATTGTTGGTTCTTTGTGTATTCTGGATAGTAATTCTTTATCTATGAGTAGCTGGCAAAGATTTTCTCCATTCTGTGTGTTGTCTCTGGATTTTGGTAGTTTTTTTTGATGTGCGTAAGCTTTGAATTCTTGCTCTTATGTCCTGGGCAATTGGAGTGCTAGTTAGAAAGTAATTACCTATGCATATATCTTCAAGTGTTTTCCTGTAGTAATTTCAAAGCTTCCAGTCCTACATTAAATCTTTGATCCATTTTGAATTGACTTTTCTACAGAATGAGAGATAGGGCTCTAGTGTTAGTCTTCCACATGTAGATAATCAGTTTTCCCAGTCCATTAGTTGAAGAGGCTGTCTTTTCTCCAATGTTTGTTTTTGGCTCCTTTGTCAAAATCCAGATGCCTGTAGCTGTATGGGTTTATTTCTGGGTCTTCAGTTCTTTTCCATTGGTCTCCATGTCTGTTTTTGTGTCAATGCCATGCTGTTTTTGTTACTATGGCCTTATAGTGTAATTGAAGTCTGGTATTGTGAGACCTCTAATACAGGTCTTTTTGATCAAGATAATTTTTTCTATTTAAAGTCTTTTATGTTTCCATATGAATTTTAGGATTAATTTTTCTATTTCTGTGAAGAATGATATTGGAACATTGATGGGAATTGTATTGAATCTATAGATTACATTCAGTAGTAGCCATTTTCACAGCATTAATTTTGTCAATCCATGACATGGGAGGTCTTTCCATCTTCTGGTGTCTTCATCAATTCCTTTCTTCAAGATTTTGTAGTTTTGATTGTAGAGATCTTTTACATCCTTAATTAAGTTTATTTCTAGGGTTTTTTCTTAATTTTTTTTTTTTTGGAGGCTACTGTGAATGGGATTTCCTGATTTCTTTCTCAGTCTGTTCATTGTGGGTATATGGAAAAGCTACTGATTTTCATATGTTAATTTTATATCCTGCTGTATTGCTGAAAGTGCTCATCAGATCTAGGAGTTTTGGGGGTAAATTCTTTATGGTCTTTTAAGTATAGGATCATATCATCTGTAGTTAGGAAAAATTTAACTTCTTCCCTCCTTATTTGTATCTCTTTTATTTGTTTCTCTTGCCTTATTGCTCTGGGCAGGAATTCCAGTGTTATATTGAATATAGACTAGAATGTAGACTAGAGGACATGATTCTAGGTTTTTTCCGTTTAGTGTGAGGCTGGCTAAAGGTCTGTCATTTATACCCTTTATTATGTTCAAGTTCATTCCTTCTATTCCTAGTTTCTTTGGAGCTTTTATCACTAAAGGGTGTTGAATTTTGTCAAAGGCTTTTTTTGCATCTACTGAGATGGTTATGTGGCTTTTGTCTTTGATTCTGTTTGATTGACACGTATT